CGCATAGTGGAGTCTGATTAGCGCAAGTGGGCAATCCAATCGACATTTGGGATCGTGAAGTATGGTGATGAGACCTCAGAAATCCTGGTGAATCTCAGCCGCCGCGCTCAATCGTGGGTTTTGAACCTCTGGCCGTGGAGACGCATTTATTGCCTGGATAGTTGGTGAACCAACACCTCAAGCTGTCAGAATCCTTGTGAGAATGTCCACGTCTAATCACTCTGATCTTCATCACCAAATCCTGACTTCAGTCACTTCCCACCTTCCCTCATGCATTAAATGCTACTTTGTGGCCAATGGGTTTTGCTGCATTAAACAGGCACTACTTCATTAAATGAAGCCTGGGACCCTGTTGTCACGTGATGATCTGACTTTAATCCCTTTGGCCGTGACCTTGCTCTACCTCGGCCTCGGCCTATGCTTGAGGTCGAGATGATCATGCCTTAGCATTTCTTCTTTTATTCTTTAAGGAAGGCGAAAATGCCCTGGCGAAACGCTGCGTTCTAGCCTCTGCGAACAAGTGCCATGGCCGAAAGAAAGGGCTCCTTCGGCCAGCTCGTGGCCGTGATTTATCAGGCACAAACAAGATCTCCCATGGCTCATCTTCTGACTCACTTTCTGAAGGGTCTGAAGCAGAAGAAACAGATTGAGTCACATTTGCCATCAACTCATCAAACTGCTCCTCAAAGTCTTTGTTCCTTGTGGTCATATAGGCTAATTTGAAATCAAACTCATCTAGAACATCCAAGTAAAGGCTAAACTCATCTCGAATGTTACCTGTACAATACATGTGACTATGTAGCACATAAGTCCTGCCCACAAACTTCCTATCCAGCAAGTAGATCCTCCACGTATCAAGACAATGTGCCAACGCTGCAAACTGCATCCCTTCTAACCCACAATTCAAATCCCAATTCGGCTCCATATTTTCAATGGCTTCTATCAGCATACCCCCATGCAGCAGAGAAGCATAAATGAAAATCTCTGAGGATTCGATGGCAAACACATCCACAAACACCTCAATCATCTCCAACACCGGTTGCTCAATCGCATCCTCTCCCAAAGGATCTTCCGGTGGGATAACTCTTAGTGAATTCAATAAAACCATTGAACTCACCTAGAGACTATTGCCCTCTTCAGCACCTCAATCTCTCTTTGTCTCAATTGCATTCAAGTTCTGCCTCCTTGGACTATCCTTCACACGATGGGGTCTTTGGCAAAGAAAGCACCTTAAGAACTTCTTCTTGTCCTTGTGCTCCTCACCCTTGGCGCCATCTGGAACAACCTTAATCTCCTTCCCTTTGTTGACTGGCTTGTTGTCCAAATGTCTCTTCCCACCTTGTTCCTTTTTCCCATTGGAAGTGACTGCTGCTCTGTAGTCTATTAGTCTCTCGGTTGCAGCAATGGCGAAATTGAGACTTTTCACATCTTGTCTCCTTAATTCCGACTTTGCCAGGGCTGCAAATTCGTGAGGTAGTTGAACAACTTGTCCTCTTCTAACATATTAAACACGTCGAGTATCAAAGAACAAAAAGCCTTCACGTAGTCCTTCATTGAACCTACTTGCTTCAAGTTCTCCAAGGCTTCCCTTGCTAACCATGCAGCATCACATGGAAGGAACTGGGCTCTCAATTCCTTCTTCAGCAAAACCCACTCCTCAATTACAGGTCTGCCTCCACTTGTCACTTCTTATGCACGAGTCCTTCATCATAACTTAGCATCTCCCGCCAAGTACATGTTGGAAAAATTGGCTCACCTAAGGATACAAGCTTCGGGGAAAGCGACTGGTCGCTGGGTATTTGCAACTGGTCATTTTGAAGTAGAGTGTAGCTTCGGAAAATCGCTAGAAAGCAACCAATCGCCAGCTACATGCGACCGGTCGTTTTCAAGCTCCAGAATGGTGGCAAATTTATTTTACTTGATACGTATTAAGATTTCTTCAAGCTATGGGATTGTCAACAGATGTAAAGGTCCCAAGTGAAATTTAGAGGCAACAAAAAGCTTCAAATACACTATTAGAAAAATAGCTATTAGTGGTCACGAAAAGTACCAATTATGCTCACTAAATGAAATTAGTGTCCAATTATTGGTGGTCACTATAAGCTCAGCACAAATTCTAAAAGCCATCCCCAAACACTGGCCACTAAATGCAAACAATTAGTGACTTTTTCTAGTAGTCACTAATTAAAATGCTATTAGTGACCACAAATTTAATTGGTAAAAGGCATATAATCTGGTCACTAAAGCACGCGATTTGGAAGAAGTTGTTTGCGAAAGACTTCTTCCAAAACCTATAGGCACTAGTAGACCTATAGAGATGTAAGAGGTGAAACTGCACCTCTGCACCTCCACTTACCTCCGCTCAGTCTGTTGTGCACTCCACCTATTCGAGAAAAGGCCTGCTAGACTTCCTTTCCGTTGTTGCGCCATTGCGTGCAGCGCACTTTTATATATAAATTTTAAAAAAATTCCGGCCAAAACGATGTCGTTTTTGACCAAGTTGGTGAGGTGGACTCAGGAGTCTCAGAAGTCATTTCGACTGCTTTGTTTTTTAGCTTTGCCTGTGCCCTAGTTTCCACCAGAAGTTTGACAAGTGTCCCACCGGGCATGCCAAAAGTGTCTGCCGCGCAAATCTCACGGCCTGGAGTTCCGGGCCGAGGGGATGTGCATTGACACGCGGTTTCCTGCTTTTGGGTGCGGTGCGGTTGTGCGTGGGCGTGCCAGCACGGTCTACCGTGCGTCGAGTTGGTTGATGGGGATAGAATGGTTGAGTGGTGCGCCTGTTTGAACTCGTTTTCTAATCAAACGATTGTAGCCGAGAGAGGAACTAGTCTCGGCTGTTAGGTTCACGGCCTGAACTACAAGGCCGTTGGGTGGTGCTGTTCGGTTGGTTTTGGGCGGTGCTCTGGCGCGCTGCTTAGGGAGCGACGGTCGTATGATATCTGGGGTGAGTGAGCGAATAACAGGGATGGTGCTTTGATGAATGAATTCTCCTTACAAACTATCACTACTCCTAGGAAAGCAAGTAAAATATTGAAAGTGCATTACAGGAAATATAAGTTGCTCCGTTGAAGGCTTTTGTTTGGTGTTTGAACCTTTTGAATGTAGCTCGAGCCTTGTATTTATAGGAAGAGTTCCTGGATGAGTAATCGAGGCTGAATTTACGCAT